TGGATCTCAGTGGTTGTTCAAGTCTAGTGGAGCTCCCATCTTCTATTGGGAATCTTATTAATCTCACAGAGTTGACACTTAGTCGGTGCTCAAGTCTAGTGGAGCTCCCATCTTCTATTGGGAATCTTATTAATCTCACAGAGTTGACACTTAGTTGGTGCTCAAGTCTGGTGAAACTTTTGAAAGGCTGCTCAAGTCTAGAGGCTCTTCCAATCATCATCGACATGGAATCTCTCGATACACTTTATCTCACTGGCTGCAAATCGTTGAAAACCTTTCCTGTGATTTCCACAAAAATTAAGTCTCTCTCTATTATTGAAACTGCAATAGAAGAAATTCCTTCGTCATTCAGGTCATGGTCTCGTCTTGAGGACTTGCGAATGCCGTACTGTGAAAACCTGGCGGAATTTCCGCATGTTTTTGGCTGCATCACGGAGCTTGAGGTGAGCAATACAAGAATACAAGAAATTGCTCCATGTGTCAAGGAAATGTCTCGTCTACAGAGACTTGTAATCAAGGGATGCACAAATCTGGTTTCGCTCCCAGAGCTTCCAGGCTCCTTAAGATTCCTGCTTGCAGAAAATTGTGAGTCACTAGAGAAACTAGATTGCTCTTTTTACAAGAGAGTGTTTGATTATCTCTTGTTTTGCAACTGCTTCAAACTGAATCAAGAAGCAAGAGACCTTATCATCAAGACATCGATTAGTACTAAGTATGCAATGTTACCCGGAGAAAAAGTGCCTCCATATTTCACTCACCGAACTAATGGGAGTTCCATCTCAGTGAATTTGATTGGAAGTGATACACATTTTCCTTTATCCTTGAGATTTAAGGCTTGCGTCTTGACTGGGGAGCAATCGTATGCTATGTATTGGAATTTAAATTGTTGTATCAATGGTGTCAAGGTTAAGGTTAAGATAGTGGGTTCCATCGACCATTCGCTGCATCTATTGATATTCAAATTTGAAGCAGAGGTGAGTTCCAGTGAATTACTCTTTGAATTCAAATCCGTACGCTTTCCGACATGTGAGATTGGAGGATGCGGGATACGAATTTTGATATAAAAGGAGGATATCCAATATAATTTCAATTTTTCATTCATAACTAAGAAAAACTTTACTTTCAAGTTGATGTTTATTTTTATTATTATAGTGTGATATTCTTGGATTGATGTCTCTTATTAAAATTAACAGATAAACTGAAAAACGTTGCTAAAGCAAAAAAACAGAGCTATGCATTCCTTGTCTGCCTTAAATATCAACCCTACAGTTGCTATATCATAAATCTTTGTTTCAAACTCGTTTGAATGATCATCAACAAACAAAAAGAAATTCTGAAGCTTGTGTAAATTCTAAGTCAGTTGAGATAACTTTTAGTTGGATTTGGGAATGAAGATTCCATTCAAGATCATTTACTTTTCGTAAAAGTTTTCCTCGGTTTAGGTCTGCAACTCTTCTACATGATTCTATAAAAATATATCTTCCCCTTTTTCGATTAATCATCAAAGAACTGGGATTAACTTTCTCTGTTTGTGGCTTTGTGTTACCACTTCTCATCATCACTCAGAATTCTTCATAGTTTATTCTTCCATCCTGCATAAAAAGAGAAACCCATCAATGTCAATGTTAGCTTAAGACTTACTGCTCATAACATCTTTGATGCTATATACAAGGAGAAAATAACTTACATTATCTGTGTCCACTTCCGCTATGATCTCTTTGATGCTAGCTTCGTCTCCCATATCATACTCTTTCATAGCTGATTCCAACTCATCCATTGTGATAAACCTGTGCATGTCAAATCCACATTGGTGTCTTAATATATATCTCCAAGTCTATATTTTGCTTGTTCCTCAAAGGGCCAAACTTACCTGCTATTGTCTTTGTCAAAGTATTGGAAGGCTTTGAATAAGTGCTCATCTCGATCCACTCTGTATCTATGCATCGTCGCTGACATAAACTCGATGTAGTCTATTGTTCCATTACCATCTACATCAGCCTGAAACATTTTATACATCAAAAGGCTTCTCTTCTCATGTTCTATCTTTGAAGATAAGAATATGGAATGAATAGAAAGAGGATGGCAATACTAACAGCTTCCATGAGTTGCTTAACCTCAGCTTCAGAGAGTTTAGAACCGAGTTTAGCCAGCCCGGTTTTCAGTTCTTCGTTAGTGATTGTCCCGCTTTGATCGGTATCCATATTCGCAAACATGGTTTTGAGACCTTTAATTTCCTCTTCAGAGAGACTCTCTGCAATAACCTGCAAAACAAAAACAAAAAGCAGAAACACGACCAATGATTAGCTAGGAAAAATGGAAGAGAATGTTTACTTGAAGAATAGAAGTTTGTAGCTTTACCTTAAGAGCTAGCTTCTTAAGTTTGTTCATTGCTCGGAATTGCTTCATCCGAGATAACACAGCACTATCAATAGGCTTGTCCGGAGCTTCTCCGCCTCTGATCCAAGGATGATCTATGAAAAAGAACATTGAAAAGTATGTTCTTTGGTTAGTAGACTAATCTTGAAGAGACTAAATGCACTTTACCAAGAGCTTGTGCGGCTGAGATTCGTTTCTTAGGGTCCTTAGTAAGCATCTTCCTCACAAGGTCCTTAGCACTCTCAGATATAGAAGGCCATGGTTGGCTCTCAAAATCAATTTCTCCCTTAATAATCTCATCAAATATCCCTTTTTCAGTTTCTACAATGTAACAACAACAGCATAAAACAATATATAAATACATAACTGAATGGTTAAACCGAAACAAACAATTTGTCAGCTTTCATTACCTGCCCAAAAAGGAGGCACACCACAAAGCAAGATGTATAGAATAATCCCTGCACTCCAAATATCGATTTCCTTTCCATAACTTCGTCTTAATACTTCAGGAGCAATATAGTAAGCACTTCCAACTATATCCCTGTAAACTTTCCCTGCAATTTTGTTTTCCATTTGTTAAAACAACAGATCAAGCTTATGAACACCAGATTCAACTAACCAAAATGGCATAACTTGACAGACAAATAAGGATTACAACACACAAGTTCTAAACAGTTACGCACATTCCCAAGTTCACACAAAACTTGTAAAACCTCTGTTTTGAAGCTTACCACTATATACTAAACTATAAGCAGAGTAACGTAAGAATAGATTACTCCTGTCAAAATCTATTATTATCGTATCTAAACATCGGTTTAGAATCTTTGATAAATCTAAAACACTTGCATATAATCAAAAGCAGAACAAGTTGTATAGCAGAGCCGTGCTTAGGTTTATAGAGGCCTTAGACAAAATTTAAACATGTGGTCGTATTATAAAAATAATACTTTATAAAAAACTATAACAATGAATTAAAACATACAAAAATAATGATAATAAATAATAGATAATATAGAAATTCTAAATTATAATTATTTTCATTTTTCCTACAAAAGCATTTATCAAATTCACATATTCAATTTTTTTAATCAATTCTTTTTATTAATATAATAATCAAACTGTTTAATTTCTCTAATAACAATAAAAATGTTTAAGATTATGAACTTTTTAAAACAAATAAATTAAATACATGTATTAAACTATATATGTAAGCCTATTTTTGAAATAAATGTGGCCTTATAATTTTGTTAACTTTGATGTGGCCTTAGGCCATTGCCTAATTTTTTATACCTGAGGCACGGCTCTGTTGTATAGTATTCTCACCTTCTTCGATGAACACAGACAATCCAAAATCAGTAGCCTTGAGCATAGCATTCTCATCTTTACTAGCGAGCAAGAAGTTCTCAGGCTTGAGATCACGATGCATCACACCCATGAAATGACAAATCTGTACAACATTCAGAATCGATCTAATAACACCTGCAGCTGCTCTCTCCGAGTAATAGAACCCATCAATTTTTTCTTTTTATAATATTAATTCGCGTGGGTTTTTATTCCTACTTCTAAAACCTTGCACTCTTTAATTATGTTTTTCAGAAATACATTTCCTTCTTTGGGAAATTATATTTGTAAATTCACAGAAACTTATACATATATCATTTTACGTTCACTAAAAAATGGTCATTAGCACATAAAATTGCAAAATCAATAGCCAGAAGTGTTACTAAGTTTAATCTACATCAAGTTTATAAAGCAAAAGATGAAAATGAAGTGGCTCATCGTCTTGGAGATTTCGACAAATCGAGAAGCAGATGTATTGAAGGAATGTCTTAACGGTGATGTCAAGTCTATGTTGATTGTTGAGCTTGTATGAAGCTGTTCACTTATTCACTTGGGGACTACCACTGATGATATAATAGACCAAAGGCCAAGCATTGAGATTCACATCGATTCACTTGAAGAGTTGAAGTTGTTTAGTGGATCATTTTATGGGCAGTAACTGAATTTGGGCAGTTTCGATATATGACGTGGCCCATGAGACTTGGTATTCATTTTTGACGGGTTGATCCGGAGAATATATATGTATCCATGATTATTTTTTTGTTTTGCGGATCGAAATATTTTCGATTCGTATCTACCCTAGAAGTTAGAACTAGTCAGTTATTCAATGTTTTTTATAGGATAATAACCGATCCGCTTATTTTTTAAAAAATTCAACTTAAAAGATTATGAAAAAAAAATTAAGATCACAGTGAAAATATTCATGTAAAGTCCTTTTTTTTTTCAAATTTAATAGTCTGATATTTATTTATATTTTTAAAATGTATAGATATTAATATAAATTTATCTATATATGTAAATTCAAATATGCATCCATTGATCTGAATGAAATTCCGAAATTTATAAAATTTAGTATTTTGTCATTTGTTTAGTTTCTAATTTCTTGGCAAAGAAGTTGAAGCTGAGGATGAAGCTTCGTTGAATTTAATAGTCTGATGAAGTTTTCCACTAATCTCTCTCAGGCAATAGAGTCAACGATTTGTGTCACAATATTCAAAGAAAACAAAGAAACCAAGCTCTTTGTTCCATTATTTTTTTCTTTTCTTTTATTGTAACAAGCTCTTGTTCCATTCTCTTTGTTTCATCTTTCTTCAAATATCTTTCTAGCAAGGTCCTTGATCCTCTCTCCACCGCACCAATGGATTCTTCTATTTTAATTACCATTCTTGCTGCTGCAATAGGCTTCTTCATGATTTTTAGAAAAATCAGATCCCATCAAGAAAACAAAGAAATCGATTCTTCTTCTTCTTCTTTATCTACTTCATCAGTTCCTCCATCTTTATCGTCTCCTTCATCAGTTCCTTCATCTTCTTCGTCTCACAACTGGATACACGATGTTTTTCCGAGCTTCCGCGGGGAAGATGTCCGCGAAGAATTTCTCAGTCATATTAAGAAGGAGTTTGGAAGAAAGGGAATTACACCGTTCAATGATAATGGGATCAAGAGAGGAGAATCCATCGGTCCTGAACTCATACGGGCCATTAGAGAATCTAAGATCGCGATCGTTTTGCTCTCCAAGAACTATGCTTCTTCAAAATGGTGTCTTGACGAATTGGTGGAGATTATGAAGTGCAGGGAAGAGTTGGGTCAAACTGTGATGGCCGTTTTCTATAAAGTAGATCCATCTGATGTAAAGAAGCTTTTAGGAGATTTTGGCAAGGTTTTCAGAAAAACTTGTGCGGGTAAAAGGAAGGAGGATATTGGAAGATGGAGACAAGCTTTGGAAAAGGTGGCCACAATCGCTGGTTACCATTCAAACAATTGGTTTGTTCTCTGCTTTGCTTTCAATTTTTTCAAACACATCAAAGAATATCCAGGAGTTACGTTTCTTTCTAAAATTTTATAAACCTAAGAATTTTAGACTATTGGTGATATTATTGGAAAATGAATGCTAAAAGGTGGATTTTGTTAGAATTGCCCAAATATATATATATATATATATATATATAGATATATATAATATCCAGCCAAAAACCACATATAATTTGAATTTGTAAAAAGAAAACGAAAATTACAATCACAAGACCACTTTTTTAAGCCTTCAAATCTGAATGAAATAGATAAGAATATTAAATCTAATCCTGCTCGTAGCATTTCTCTGTTCTGTCGAGGATTGTTCCCTTTAGCATTAATACATATAAGTTTTAAAGTCAAGTAGAACAAAAGTGTACGTGAATTTTTGATGAATATTGAACGAACCTACTCCATCTGTCCTCTTGTTAGGGATGATGAAGCGGCCATGATCGAGAAAATTGCCATCGACGTTTCAAACGAGCTGATTAATAATGCGCCATCAAGTGATTTCGACGGTTTCATTGGGATGGGAGCTCATATGGAAAAGATGGAACCGTTCTTACTCTTAGGCTCCAATGAAGTGAGGATGATAGGGATTTTGGGTCCTTCTGGAATTGGTAAGAGCACCATCGCCAGAGTTTTGTATAGCAAATACTCTCATCATTTCCAACTTATTGTCTTCATGGAGAATATCAAAAGACGTTATCCAAGACTTGCTTACGATGAGTACAGTACGAAACTGCAATTGCAGAACGAGTTCTTGTCCCAAATAATCAACCAGGAGGGAATCAAGATCCATCATTTAGGAGTTGCGCAAGATAGGTTAAAAGACAAGAGAGTACTTGTCGTTCTTGATGACGTGGACCATTTGGTGCAACTAGATGCCATGGCGAAAGAAACTCGGTGGTTTGGGCCTGGAAGTCGGATTATCATCACAACGCAAGATAAAAGGCTTTTGAATGCACACGGGATTAACCATATTTACGAGGTGGGTTTCCCACATGAAGATGAGGCTCTTGAAATCTTCTGCATGGCGGCTTTTGGTCAGAATTCTCCATATGAGGGTTTCAAGATCCTTGCTAGGGAGGTTACAGGACTTGGTGGTCGACTCCCTTTGGGACTAAGGGTTATGGGATCTTATTTGAAAGGAAGGTCCGAGCAGGAGTGGAGACAGGAACTACCAAGGTTAAGGACCAGCCTTGACGGAGAAATTGAAAGCGTCTTGGAGTTCAGTTACAATGCCTTACGTGCTGAAGATAAAGCTTTATTTCTTTATATAGCTTGTTTTTTCAACAATGAAAGGATTGAGAAAGTCCAAGTACATCTAGCAAAGAATTTCTCTAATGTGAGTCAAGGTCTCCAGGTCTTAGCTGAGAAATCTCTCATATCAATCAGCGGCTGGGGATCGATAGAGATGCATGATTTGCTAGCACGTTTGGGTAAAGAAATTGTTGGTAGACAAGCCATTCATGACCCTGGGGAGCGTCAGTTTTTGGTTAATGCCCAAGATATATGCCAAGTACTGAACAATGATACACTGGTAAGTACTTTTCACACTCTCTCCCCTTCACTAGCATGGTGCTCCATAGACCTTACAAAATTTGATAACTAACCATATGTATTTGGATTCTTTTTCAGGGTAGTAAAAGAGTTATAGGCATAGATCTCAAGTATCATGAGATCAAGGATGAGTTAAAAATAAGTGAGAGAGCCTTTGAAAGAATGTCTAGTCTCCAATTCTTAAGAACACGTGGTGATTCTAACTATGCCTTACAGCCAAGACCAAACTATCTACCTCCAAAAGTTACATTGCTGCATTGTGAATATTTTCCAATGACATGTCTCCCTTCTAGGTTCAATCCGAATTTCCTCGTGGAACTAAACATGCCTCGTAGCAGGCTTGAGAAATTATGGAAAGGAATTAAAGTAAGTAAATTTTGTTCTCTAGTATGTATTTCAGTTTTATTCGAATCTATAGTTCTTCTTTTTGGACATCATGCTTAAGGTGAAACAAAAATCTCAATGGTACTGTATTGTGTTCTAGGATAATTTTTCTTTGATGAATTCACTACTAAGTGTCTATCAATGTTATTGTTTCTCTGTACAGACGATTAAAAATCTCAAGTGGATGGATTTGAGTTATTCCGAAAATCTGAAGGAGCTTCCTGATCTCTCAACTGCCAGTAGTCTCCAAGAATTGAAACTTAAATATTGCTCAAGTCTGGTGAAGCTTCCATCTTCTATTGGGAATGCTGTTAATCTTCAAAAACTAGATCTCAGTAAATGCTCAAGTCTGGTGAAGCTCCCATCTTCTATTGGGAATGCTGTTAATCTTCAGAAATTAAATCTCAGTAGATGCTCAAGTCTAGTGGAAGTCTCATCTTCTATTGGATATGTTATTAATCTCAAGAAGTTGAATCTTTGTGGTTGCTCAAGTATAGTGAATCTCCCATTTTCTATTGGGAATGTCACTAGTCTTCAGAGATTGGATCTCAGTGGTTGTTTAAGTTTGGTGGAGCTCCCATCTTCTATTAGAAATCTTATTAATCTACAGAAGTTGGATCTTTCTGATTGCTCAAGTCTAGTTGAGCTCCCATCTTCTATTTGGAATGTTTTTAATAGTAACCTCAAGGAGTTGAATCTTCGTGATTGCTCAAGTGTAGTGAAGCTCCCATCTTTTATTGTGAATGTTGTTAATCTTGAGAAATTAAACATCAGTGGTTGCTCGAGTTTAGTGAAGCTCTCATCTTCAATGGGAAATGCTGTTAATCTCAACGAGTTAAATCTTAGTGGCTGCTCAAGTATAGTGAAGCTCCCATTTTCTATTGGGAATGTCACTAATCTTCAGGAGTTAAATCTTAAAGGTTGTTCAAGTCTAGTTGAGCTCCCATTTTCTATTGGGAATCTTATTAATCTCACAGAGTTGGATCTTTCTGGTTGCTCAAGTCTAGCGGAACTCCCATCTTCTATTGGAAATGCTGTTAATCTTCAAAAACTAGATCTCAATGGTTGCTCAAGCCTGGTGGAGCTCCCATCATCGATTGAAAATCTTCGAAATTTGTTGTACTTGCCTTTGAAAGGTTGCTCAAAGCTAGAGGCTCTTCCGATCAACATCAACATGGAATCTCTCCATAAACTTGATCTCACTGACTGCTCATCGTTGAAAAGTTTCCCTGAGATTTCCACAAATATTAAGTCTCTCTGGATTTGTGGAACTGCTGTAGAAGAAGTTCCTTCGTCATTCAGGTCATTGTATTATCTTGAGCACTTGCAAATGCAATACTGTGAAAACCTTGGGGAATTCCGCATGCTTTTGACCGCATCATGAAGCTGCACGTGAGCAATACAAGAATACAAAAACTTGCTCCATGGGTTAAGGGAATGTATCGTCTACATACACTTGTGCTTGAGAGATGCACAAATCTTGTTTCGCTCCCAGAGCTTCCAGGCTCCTTAAGAGTCCTGCTTGCAGAAAATTGTGAGTCACTAGAGACACTAGATTGCTCTTTTCACAAGACAGAGTTTGACCGTCTCAGGTTTATCAACTGCTTCAAATTGAATCAAGATGCAATAGACCTTATCATCAAGACATCGATTGGTCACTATGGCCATGCAGTCTTACCCGGAGAAAAAGTGCCTACGTACTTCACTTACCGAAACAATGGGAGTTCAATCTCAGTGAATTTGAATGAAACTGATACACATTTTCCTATATCCTTGAGATTTAAGGCTTGCGTCTTGCTGGTTAATAAGGGTGGCAATTGGAGTTTGAGGTATCTATATTGTCGCATCAATGGTGTCAATTCTAGGATTCCCATTCTCACCGAACTATCGCCATGTGGAAAGGAGCATCTGTTCATATTCGAATATGAAGCACAGGTGAGTTCCAGTGAATTAGTCTTTGAATTCGAATTTAGCGAGAAGAAATTGGAGATTGGAGAATGCGGGATACAAACTTCAGGTCCCTAGGTGTTATAAGGAGGATGTACAGTATAATTTCCATTTTCATTATTGTTTACTTCAAAAAAAAAAAAAACATTACTTTCAAGTTGATGTGCATTTTATGTATGATTGTCATTGTGTGATATTGGATTTATTTGAATTTAACTGATGAATTCACAATGTTTTTAATGCAATGCATTCCTTGTCTGCCTTAAATTATCGACCAAACAGTTGTTAATTAATTAATGGTATGTTCTTCCTTTTTCGACTAATCATATCGAAGGGATAGCAGAGATATTTTGTCACTCCTAATTTCTTGGCAACAGAGTTGAAGCCGAGGATGAAGTTTCCAGAGAAGATTGATGTCTTTTCTGTGTAGTGTGAAGTGTGAACTCATCAATTCTTGACGAAGAGACATGGACGTCTTCCTTGAAATTGCTTCTGCTCTTCCTTGCCCTTTCCTTCTTAGACCAGAAAACTCAAAACGGGGTTTTCCACAAATCTCTTTCAGTCAATGAAGACTACAGAGTCAACGTTTTATTATCACTATATTTTTTTTTAGAAAATATAATCACCATATTCAATTGTATCTTTCTAGGAAGCTTATTGGTCCTCTCTCCTCCACACAAACTGATTCTACTTCTTATCCTCACCATTCTTTGCTACTACAATATGCTTGTTCATGATATATAGAACATTCATATTCCATCAAGAAAACCAAGAATCGAAGATTGTCTTCTTTATCTACTTCATCACCTCCATTTTGTTGTTGTAATATACTAATACTTTATTCAGCAACAAAAAAAAAAAACAAAATGAGATTTCAATCGTTTTTGAGAGAATTTAAAAAACAGAGACGGATGGTAGAAAAGAGAAAGAAAAGGAAATCAGAGGAGCTTTCAAATCCAGTGAGAAAGAAGATCCGAGTGCCATCACCTCCATCTTTATCTCTTTCATCAGCTCCATCTTCTTTGTCTCCTTCATTACCTTCATCTCCTCCATCTCCTACATCTTTATCTCTTCCATTACTTCCATCTTCTTTATTTCTTTCATCACCTCCATATTCTTTGTCTCCTTCATTACCTTCATCTCCTCCATCTCCTACATCTTTATCTCTTTCATCACTTCCATCTTCTTTATCTCTTTCATCACCTCCATCTTCTTTGTCTCCTTCATCACTTCCATCTTCTTCATATCTTTCATCACCTCCATCTTCTATGTCTCCTTTATTACCTTCATCTTCTTCATCTCCTCCATCTCTTCCATCTCCTCGTTCATCTTCCTCGTCTCACAACTGGACACACGACGTTTTTCCGAGCTTCCGTGGGGAAGATGTCCGCAGAAGCTTTCTCAGTCATATTCAAAAGGAGTTTGAAAGAAAGGGAATCACACCATTCAATGATAATGGAATCAAGAGAGGAAAATCCATCGGTCCTGAACTCATACGGGCGATTAGAGGATCTAAGATTGCAATAATCTTGATCTCCAAGAACTATGCTTCTTCAAGTTGGTGTCTTGACGAATTGGTGGAGATTATGAAGTGCGAGGAAGAGTTGGGTCAAACTGTGCTGGCCATTTTCTATAAAGTAGATCCATCTGATGTAAAGAAGCTGACCGGATATTTTGGGGAGGTTTTTAAAAAAACCTGTGCCGATAAAAGTAAGGAGGATATTCGGAGATGGAGACAAGCTTTGGAGAAGGTGGCCAAAATCGCTGGTTACCATTCAATCAACTGGTTTGTTCTCTTGAGATCTGCTTGCTTTTAGTCTTTTCAAACACATCAAAATATAATTTACAAGATTATTAAATTTTATGAAGAGTTCTTAAAAGTCAAAGAGTTACTTTTCTTTCTAAAATTTCATAAACCCTTACAATGTTAGAGTTCTGGTGATATTATTGGGAAATAAATGCTAGAATGTGGATTTTTTGTTTATATATATATATATAGGTTTATTCGTATAAATCTAATTTTGATCATTCGTTTCATTGAATGAATGTATTCATCTTTCTTCTTGTTAGGGATGATGAAGCGAACATGATCGAAACAATTGCCAAGGACGTTTCAAACAAGCTGATTAATAATGCGCCATCAAGTGATTTCGACGGTTTCGTTGGGATGAGAGCTCATATGGAAAATATGAAACCATTATTACTCCTTGGCTCCAATGAAGTAAGGATGATAGGGATTTGGGGTCCATCTGGAATAGGTAAAAGCACCATCGCCAGAGTTCTATTTTGGGAACATTCTAGCCAGTTCCAATTTAGTGTCTTCATGGCTGATATCAAAAGACGCTATCCAAGACTTGGTTGCAGTGAGTACAGTACGCAACTGCAATTACAGGAAGAGTTCTTGTCTTCAATATTCAACCAGAAGGATATCAAGATTCATCATTTAGGAGTTGTGCAAGACAGGTTAAAAGACAAGAGAGTGCTTGTGGTTCTTGATGACGTGGACCATTTGGACCAACTATATGCCGTGGCGAAAGCAACTGGGTGGTTTGGTCCTGGAAGTCGGATTATCATCACAACACAAGATAAAGGACTTTTGAATGCACACGGGATTAACCATGTTTACAAGGTGGGTTTCCCACGTTACAATGAGGCTCTAGAAATCTTCTGCATGTATGCTTTTGGTCAAAAGGCTCCATATGATGGTTTCGAGAAGCTTGCTTGGGAAGTTACAAGACTTGCTGGTAGTCTCCCTTTGGGACTAAAGGTTATGGGATCTTATTTGAAAGGAAGGCCCGAGGAGGAGTGGTGGAAGGAACTACCAAGGTTAAGGACTAGCCTTGATGGAGACATTGAAAGTGTCTTGGAATTCAGTTACAATGCCTTACTTGCTGAGGATAAAGAATTATTCCTTTATATAGCTTGCTTTTTCAACAATGTACCGATGGAGAAAGTAGAAACACATCTAGCAAATCATTTCCCCAGTGTGAGTCAAGGTCTTAAGGTCTTAGCTGAGAGATCTCTCATATCTATCACCACCAGCTACAACGGCTTGACCCCCGAAGATGTCTGTATGCATGATTTGCTAGCACGGTTTGGTAGAGAAATTGTTCGTCGACAATCCCTTTATGATCCTGGGCAGCGTCAGTTTTTGGTTAATGTGCAAGATATATGTAAAGTACTGAAGAATGATACACTAGTAAGTTTTCACATTATCCTTCACTGCATGTTGCTCCTTAGACAATACGAAATTTAATAACTAACCATATATATTTACGTATGTGTCATTGGATTCTTTTTCAGGGTAGCGAAAGAGTTGTAGGCTTACAACTCGATTATGATGAGATCGAGGATGAGTTAATAATAAGTGAGGGAAGCTTTGAAAGAATGTCTGGTCTCCAATTCTTAAGGACAACAAGGGGAGACAGATATAAACACTCAAGCCCAAACTATCTACCTCGAAAAGTTAAATTACTGCATTGTGGACATTCTTTGATGACATGCCTGCCTTCTAATTTTAATACGGATTCGCTCGTCGAGCTAAACATGCCTCACAGCAAGCTTGAGAAATTGTGGGATGGAATTAAAGTAAGTCATTTTCTTTCTCTAAAACTTTGTGTATTTTACTTCGGTTTTATTCGAATACATAGTTTTTCTTTTTGTACACTATGTTCTAGCTGAAAATAGAAAAGTGATCTCACCACACCCCTTTTTTTTTGTTGCTGGAATTAAATCTCAATGGCATTATAATGTGTTTATGAGTTTTTTTTTTTGTGATGAGTTAACTACTAAGTGTATCAACGTACGTATTTGTTTCTCTGTACAGACGATTAAAAATCTCAAGTGGATGGATTTGAGTCGTTCCTCTAATCTGAAAGAACTTCCTGATCTTTCAACTGCCACTAATCTCCGCGTACTGAAACTTCAAAATTGCTCGGGTTTGGTGAAGCTCCCATCTTCTATTGGGAATGCTACTAAACTTCTGAAATTAGATCTCAGTGGTTGTTCAAATCTAGTGGAACTCCCATCTTCTATTGGGAATCTTATTAATCTCACGGAGTTGTATCTCAGTGGTTGTTCAAATCTAGTGGAACTCCTATCTTCTATTGGGAATCTTATTAATCTCAAACACCTAGATCTTAGAAGTTGCTCAAATCTGGTGGAGCTCCCATCTTCTATTGGGAATGCTACTAAACTTCTGAAATTGGATCTCAGTGGTTGTTCAAATCTAGTGGAGCTCCCATCTTCTATTGGGAATCTTATTAATCTCACGGAGTTGTATCTCATTGATTGTTCAAATCTAGAGGAGCTCCCATCTTCTATTGGGAATCTTATTAATCTCACGGAGTTGTATCTCATTGATTGTTCAAATCTAGAGGAGCTCCCATCTTTTATTGGGAATCTTATTAATCTCGAACAACTAGATCTTAGAAGTTGCTCAAATCTGGTGGAGCTCCCATCTTCTATTGGGAATGCTACTAAACTTCTGAAATTGGATCTCAGTGGTTGTTCAAATCTAGTGGAGCTCCCATCTTCTATTGGGAATGCTACTAAACTTCTGAAATTAGATCTCAGTGGTTGTTCAAATCTAGTGGAACTCCCATCTTCTATTGGGAATCTTATTAATCTCACGGGCTTGGATATCAGTGGTTGTTCAAATCTAGTGGAACTCCCATCTTCTATTGGGAATCTTATTAATCTCGAACAACTAGATCTTAGAAGTTGCTCAAATCTGGTGGAGCTCCCATCTTCTATTGGGAATCTTAATAATCTCGAACAACTAGATCTTAAAAGTTGCTCAAATCTAGTGGAACTCCCATCTTCTATTGGGAATCTTATTAATCTCAAACACCTAGATCTTAGAAGTTGCTCAAATCTGGTGGAGCTCCCATCTTCTATTGGGAATGCTACTAAACTTCTGAAATTGGATCTCAGTGGTTGTTCAAGTCTAGTGGAGCTCCCATCTTCTATTGGGAATCTTATTAATCTCGCAGAGTTGAATGTTAGTAGGTGCTCAAGTCTAGCGGAGCTCCCATCTTCTATTGGGAATGCTACTAAACTTCGGAAATTGGATATCAGTGGTTGTTCAAGTCTAGTGGAGCTCCCATCTTCTATTGGGAATCTTATTAATCTCACGGAGTTGGATCTTAGTTGGTGCTCAAGTCTAGAGGTGCTCCTATCTTCTATTTGGAATGCTACTAAACTTCTGAAATTGAATCTCAGTTGTTCAAGTCTAGTGGAGTTCCCATATTCTATTGGGGATCTTATTAATCTCACGAAGTTGGATCTCAGTAGTTGTTCAAGTCTAGTGAAGCTCCCATCTTCTATTGGGAATCTTATTAATCTCACGGAGTTGGATATCAGTGATTGTTCAAGTCTAGAGGAGCTCCCATCTTCTATTGGGAATGCTACTAAACTTCTGAAATTGGATCTCATTGATTGTTCAAATCTAGAGGAGCTCCCATCTTCTATTGGGAATCTTATTAATCTCAAACACCTAGATCTTAGAAGTTGCTCAAATCTGGTGGAGCTCCCATCTTCTATTGGGAATGCTACTAAACTTCTGAAATTGGATCTCAGTGGTTGTTCAAGTCTAGTGGAGCTCCCATCTTCTATTGGGAATCTTATTAATCTAACGAAGTTGGATCTTAATTGGTGCTCAAATCTAGTGGAGCTCCCATCTTCTATTGGGAATCTTATTAATCTCAAACACCTAGATCTTAGAAGTTGCTCAAATCTGGTGGAGCTCCCATCTTCTATTGGGAATGCTACTAAACTTCTGATATTGGATCTCAGTGGTTGTTCAAGTCTAGTGGAGCTCCCATATTCTATTGGGGATCTTATTAATCTCACGGAGTTGGATCTCAGTAGTTGTTCAAGTCTAGTGAAGCTCCCATCTTCTATTGAGAATCTTATTAATCTCCAGACCTTGAAGCTTATAGGCTGCTCAAGTCTAGAGGCTCTTCCGATCAACATCGACATGGAATCTCTCGATACACTTTTTCTCACTGGTTGCTCATCGTTGAAAACCTTTCCTGAGATTTCCACAAAAATTAAGACTCTTTGGATTTGTGGAACTGCAATAGAAGAAATTCCTTCGTCATTCAGGTCATGGTCTTGTCTTGAGGACTTGCAAATGCCATACTGTGAAAACCTGGCGGAATTTCCGCATGCTTTTGGCTGCATCACGGAGCTTCAGGTGAGCAATACAAGAATACAAGAAATTGCTCCATGTGTCAAGGAAATGTCTCGTCTACGTACACTTGTAATCAAGGGATGCACAAATCTTGTTTCGCTCCCAGAGCTTCCAGGCTCCTTAAGAGTCCTGCTTGCAGAAAATTGCGAGTCACTAGAGACACTAGATTGCTCTTTTCACAAGATAGAGTTTGATCGTCTCTTGTTTAGCAACTGCTTCAAATTGAATCAAGAAGCAAGAGACCTTATCATCAAGACATCGATTAGTATTAAAGATGGCTATGAAATCTTACCCAGAGAAATAGAGATCTCTCATCTCTATCACCAACAATTACGACGGCAACTGGTTCTCCAACAGTGTCCGTATGCATGATTTGCTAGTACGGTTTGGTAGAGAAATTGTTCGTCGACAATCCATTTATGATCCTGGGCAGCGTCAGTTTTTGTTTAATGCCCAAGATATATGCCAAGAACTAAATAATGATACACTAGTAAGTTTTCACATTATCCTTCACTGTGTGTTGCTCCTTAGACCATACGAAATTTAATAACTAACCATATTTATTTACGTATGTGTCATTGGATTCTTTTTCAGGGTAGCGAAAGAGTTGTAGGCTTACTATTCGATTATGATGAGATCGAGGATGAGTTAATAATAAGTGAGAGAGCCTTTGAAAGAATGTCTAGTCTCCAATTCTTAAGAACAAACTATCACTTTGCCGTAAACTCAAGCCCAAACTATCTACCTCGAAAAGTTAAATTACTGCATTGTGGACATTCTTTGATGACATGCCTGCCTTCTAATCTTAATACGGATTTCCTCGTCGAGCTAAACATGCCTCACAGCGAGCTTGAGAAATTGTGGGATGGAATTAAAGTAAGTCATTTTCTTTCTCTAAAACTTTGTATATACTTCGGTTTTATTCGAATACATAGTTTTTCTTTTTGTACACTGCTCTAGCTGAAAATAGAAAACTGATCTCACCACACCCTTTTTTTGTTGCTGGAATTAAATCTCAATGGCATTATAATGTGTTAATGAGTTTTTTTTTTTTTTGTGATGAGTTCACTACTAAGTGTATCAACGTACGTATTTGTTTCTCTGTACAGACGATTAGAAATCTCAAGTGGATGGATTTGAGTCATTCTGAAAACCTGAAGGAACTTCCTGATCTTTCAACTGCCACTAATCTCCTCGAACTGAAACTTCAAAGTTGCTCGGGTTTGGTGAAGCTCCCATCTTCTATTGGGAATCTTATTTATCTCACGGAGTTGGATCTCTGTTTTTGTTCAAATCTAGTGGAACTCCCATCTTCTATTGGAAATCTTATTAATCTTCAGGAGTTGAAGCTTATAGGCTGCTCAAGTCTAGAGGCTCTTCCGATCAACATCGACATGGAATCTCTCGATACACTTTTTCTCACTGGTTGCTCATCGTTGAAAACCTTTCCTGAGATTTCCACAAAAATTATGTATCTATGGATCTGTGGAACAGCAATAGAAGAAATTCCTTCGTCATTCAGGTCATGGTTTTGTCTTGAGGACTTGAAAATCCCGTACAGTGAAAACCTGGCGGAATTTCCGCATGTTTTTGGCTGCATCACGGAGCTTCGGGTGAGCAATACAAGAATACAAGAAATTGCTCCATGTGTCAAGGAAATGTCTCGTCTACGGAGACTTGAAATCGTCGGATGCACAAATCTGGTTTCGCTCCCAGAGCTTCCAAGCTCCTTAGAAGACCTGTTTGCAGAAAATTGTGAGTCACTAGAGAAACTAGATTGCTCTTTTTACAAGACAGAGTTTGATCGTCTCTTGTTTAGCAACTGCTTCAAACTGAATCAAGAAGCAAGAGACCTTATCACCAAGACATCGCTTAGAAGTAACTTTGGCTATGCAGTCTTACCCGGAGAAAAAGTGCCTACGTACTTCACTTACCGAAACACTGGGAGTTCCGTCTCAGTGAATTTGAATGAAACTGATACACATTTTCCTATATCCTTGAGATTTAAGGCTTGCATCTTGATTGGGGAGCAATCGAAAGATACGTACAATTTGATGTTTAATTGTCGCATCAATGGTGTCTGGGTTAAGATGTTGAATCGCGTCAACCGATCGCTTGTTGAGCATCTATTGCTAATGGAACTTGAAGCAGAGGTGAGTTCCTGTGAATTACTCTTCGAATTCAAATCCTTAAGCCATCCAAGATGTGAGATTGGAGGATGCGGGATACGAACTTTATAAAGGAGGATATCCAATATATTTTCAATTTTTCACTAATAACTAAGAGAAACTTTACTTTCAAGTTGATGTGTATTTTTATTATTATAGTGTGATATTGTTGGATTGATGTTTCTTATTCAAATTAACAGATGAACTGAAAAACGTTGATATATATTAACAGTTGCTAAAGCAAAAAAAACACAGCTATGCATTCTTTTTCTGCCTTACATATCAACCATACAGTTGCTATATCATAAATCTGCAACTCTTATTCAAATTAACAGATCACTTACTTTTCGTACAAGTTTTCCTAGGTTTAAGTCTGCAACTCTTCTACATGATTCTAAAAAATATATGTTCCCCTTTTTTGATTAATCAATCAAAGAACTGGGATTAACTTTCTCTATTTGTGGCTTTGTGTTACCACTTCTCATCATCGCGCAGAATTCTTCATAGTTTATTCTTCCATCCTGCATAAAAAGAGAAACCCATCAATGTCAATGTTAGCTTAAGACTTACTGCTCATAACATCTTTGATGCTATGTACAGGGAGAAAATAACTTACATTATCTGTGTCCACTTCCGCTATGATCTCTTTGATGCTAGCTTCGTCTCCCATATCATACTCTTTCATAGCTGATTCCAACTCATCCATTGTGATAAACCTGTGCATGTCAAATCCACATTGGTGTCTTAATATATATCTCCAAGTCTATATTTTGCTTGTTTCTCAAAGGGCCAAACTTACCCGCTATTGTCTTTGTCAAAGTATTGGAAGGCTTTGAATAAGTGCTCATCTCGATCCTATAGAATTGAGACTTAGATCAAGAATTAATAAAAGCAACTTCTTTTATTAGCTTTAGAAAAATTACTCAAAAACTAAAGCTCTCTTAATCTCTCTCTCTCAACTCATAAGTGTTTGCAACAATTCTGCAACTCCTTATATAGAGAATGGATTAGATAACTCCTAATTCCAATAGATAAAAAAATTTCCTTTTAGATAACTCCTAAATTTCCTTTTAGATAACTCCTAAATTTCTTTTTCTAATCCTAACCTTCTAGAAACACACTTTGATTAGGATTAGGAAACTTGCACTTCAAGTTTCTTTCAAGCTTATTCCAACAATCTCCCCCTTAAGCTTGAAATCTTCCTTAGAGAAATCTTCAACACCAAAATTGAGAGTTCCAAGCAAATACCTCAAAACCTGTTTCAATGCAGCTCCATGCGACTCCTCCATGATTACTTTATATAAACGATTCTTTGATCTGTTTGCCTTCATAAGGAGTCTTCCATCTTGATCATGTAATGTTAGATAATCTCCTCTCATCCGAACATCACATCCAGCCTCTGTTGCTTGTCCCAAACTGATAATATTACTCTTTAAATCTGGTATGAAATAGACATTAGCAAGCACTTTTTTCCCTCCATCTTTACTGACAAAGAGGATCGATCCTTTCCCCTTTATGTCTATCTGAGAGTCATCGCCGAATTTTACTTTTCCTGTGACCGTCTCGTCAATCTTTGAAAAGTGATTTCGGTTTCCAGTCATATGGTTACTAGCACCATTATCCAAATACCAAACATTGTCTCCTTCACGGCTTTTTTCAAATTTGTTTGGCTTCACCCTTTTTTCATTCAGATACACCACCTCGTGCATCATGAGTCGTTCAGCTTCATATGTGTCATCAACGTCGTCGTCTTCCTGAGTCTCTTGAAGTTTGAGAAGTCTGTCAGGGCAATTAGAAGCGTAATGCCCTGTTTTGTCGCATCGATAGCATGTTATCTCTGACAAATCTCTGGCTCCATTGAATCGTCCGCGACCTCGTCCTCTGCTATAGAAGCGTCCTCCTCGACCTCTGCCTCTATTCTCTCCACTGTAGTCACGATTTTCCTGAGGTTCCATGTTTGCGTACATGAGCTTGCTTTGATCATCTTGCGTTTCTTCTTCTTCTTCTTCTCGAATACGTTCTTCGTAGGCTTTTAGTCTTCCGACTATGTCTTCGAAGCTTGTGGTGTTCAAGTCTAACACCTGCTCAAGTAAAGCTACCATGTGTATATATTTCTTTCTCGGAAGACTTTTGAGAAACTTCTTGACAATCTTCGATTCCTCAATAGTCGTTCCTAAAGCAGCCGACCTTGAGCAGATTTCGGACAATTTTCCACTAAAATCATCTATCGTCTCTGTGTCCTTCATCTTGAGTTTGTCAAACTCGGCCATAAGAGTCTGCAACCTTGCCTCTCGCACCCTTTTTGCTCCTACATGTCTTGATTTGATTGCATCCTATACCTTTTTCGCCGTGTCTAACTTTCCTACCTGTAGAATGAGTGTCTCGGGTACTGATTGAAAGATCAGGGCCATAGCAACATCGTTCTTCTCACCATCGGCCGCCTCTGTTTCAACAGTCTCCCAGACCTTGTGTACTCTGAGCAAAATCCTCATCCGCATGGCCCATACGGTATAGTTGGTTGAGTTTAACATAGGACAATGGATTGAGGAAGTATTCAATGCTTTTGTACGAGTACTAGGAACGATATCTCCCATATCTTGAGCAACAACCTGAAGCTCTGATACCAATTACCTCCCAGACTTTGTGGATATCCCCATGGTTTGAATTTTAATGATCTTCGTGTTCAACTCTCTCTTCTTAGATCGTCAACCTCAAGCTCTGATACCAATTATAGAATTGAGACTTAGATCAAGAATTAATAAAAGCAACTTCTTTTATTAGCTTTAGAAAAATTACTCAAAAACTAAAGCCTCTCTTAATCTCTCTCTCTCAACTCATAAGTGTTTGCAACAATTCTGCAACACCTTATATAGAGAATGGATTAGATAACTCCTAATTCCAATAGATAAACAAATTTCCTTTTAGATAACTCCTAAATTTCCTTTTAGATAACTCCTAAATTTTTTTTTCTAATCCTAACCTTCTAGAAACACACTTTGATTAGGATTAGGAAACTTGCACTTCAAGTTTCTTTCAAGCTTATTCCAACAGATCCACTATGTATCTATGCATCGTCGCTGACATAAACTCGATGTAGTCTATTGTTCCATTACCATCTACATCAGCCTGAAACATTTTATACATCAAAAGGCTTCTCTTCTCATGTTCTATCTTTGAAGATAAGAATATGGAATGAATAGAAAGAGGATGGCAATACTAACAGCTTCCATGAGTTGCTTAACCTCAGCTTCAGAGAGTTTAGAACCGAGTTTAGCCAGCCCGGTTTTCAGTTCTTCGTAAGTGATTGTCCCGCTTTGATCCGTGTCCATATTCGCAAACATGGTTTTGAGACCTTTAATTTCCTCTTCAGAGAGACTCTCTGCAATAACCTGCAAAACAAAATCAGAAAACACAACCAATGATTAGCTAGAAAAAACAGAAGAAGTGTTTACTTGCAGAAGAGAAGTTTATGGTTTTACCTTAAGAGCTAGCTTCTTAAGTTTGTTCATTGCTCGGAATTGCTTCATCCGAGATAACACAGCACTATCAATAGGCTTGTCCGGAGCTTCTCCGCCTCTGATCCAAGGATGATCTATGAAAAAGAACATTGAAAAGTATGTTCTTTGGTAGTAGACTAATCTTGAAGAGACTAAATGCACTTTACCAAGAGCTTGT